TTGAAAAGAGATTAAAACAATGGACTGATTACATTTTGACTGCATGTTATATTGGATTCCATAATATTTGCACGTTTTGCAGTAATTCTATTGTAATTATTATTGTCATACTGCTACCCCCTCCATCTATTGTATTATGGTTTATTCCTGGCAATGAGACTTTTCCTGGATAAGGAAGACTGAAAGGCAGGTCTGAGGGTTGGAAGCCCAGTTTGCATCAGTTACTGTTCCCATTCTTTCCAAACCCTTGCCTCTCTTGTTTGGCCCACCTCTAACTACCCTATGGGGCATTAGTGTCATACTTTGGGGTGGAAGACCATTTACTCAGCAGCCCCATTGTCTCAGCAGCCCCACCCCCAAATGCAGGCTATTGAGTACAGTGAGTTGGGTTGCCAGCCAGGGGGGCTTCAGCTCTGGGGACCTTTGGGGGCAGGGCAAAGCATTGCATGGCAGCGTGACAATTTCAACTTTGGTGCCACAATTTCTCCTAGTGCTGTACTGGGCAGCAGCAAGGAGCGGAGGGTAGGAGTGCTCCCCCTATTAGTGGGACTAAGTATTTATTTATTTAACAAAATGTGTACCCCACCTTTCCACTCTCACTGGTCCATCCAGGGCTGCTAACAAATTAAAACATATGGGATTTAAAAATCACATTTTAAAACCATTAAAACAAACAAAAACAACTTTCCTTCTCTCACTTTCACACTAACCAGGAATTCTTGGCAATGTGTCACTCTGTGTTCCTACCTCCTACTTTCCCTTTCAAGGTTCTCTATGCCTGACTGTTGGTCTAATTATGTCTGTGCACCTTGACGGGCTCAGTGATCAGGGCAGGTGGTGCTATGGCTCCCCAGGAAATAGAAGAGAGGCAAAAACAAGCCTGAGAAGAGTTTGTTTGCAGCCATCTTAGGGGAGCATCATCAAATATGAAGGAAACATAAGAAACATAGGAAATGTGTGGGTAATATACTCGTATTTTAAACTGGCTGTGTTCCCACCCACAGTGTATGAAAATGAAAATATAGAACTAACATTTCATAGCTTTATTGTGTCTCATACTGGCATACATGGAGAAGCTCTGATTTTCTCACAAAGTCAGGTGTCAGGCTTAAGTGTAAAAAGCTCCAGAAAGTCAGAAAGCTAATGACCAGGAGGCAGGAGGGTTGAAGAAAGAATCCCAGCATTCAACATTGGGCTTGGCAAAATGGGCTTGATTAAATGATCTGTGGAAGAAGAGGTCCAATGGAAAGAAGGGGCAGAGGACCACCAGAATAAGAGGATGAGCCAGCTTCAAAAGGATAGTTGCCTCAATGAAAAAACATTCCATGGGTTCTAGACACAGGAGGATCTGACATCAAGGAGTACAGACTAATAAGGAAAACAACAGGGATCATAAACAGACAACCCTAAAGGAGATGGAGAACTACAGCTGAATATCCTGAACTCAAAATTAAATACAAGGGGACCACAGAGATACTGAGTACAATAACAAAAACAAAATACACCATGGAGAGCACAAATTACTCAAGGTCCAATAACATTCAAGTGCTACTTAAAGGCACATGTCTCAAATAGAATGAATGAAAGAATCATGCATAGAGATTAGAATGTAAATCTTTTCGTATGATCCACATATACTTGTTACTTGTTAAAGCACTGAGGCTTTGAAACAAATACACAAGTGCAGGGATACACAAAGAAACCTTCCTAGAGCAAGACCAGTGAATGGGCTGTATGCAGCCCTTGAAAACAACTGTTATCTTCTTTACTGCTTCTTAGGTTCCAAACTTTCAGGTCTTCAGGGAGGCTGAGAAAACTGGCTGACGTTTCTTGTTGGCTAAGAGAGTTTCCATTATTATTCTTCAGAGCCAATATATTCTTATGGAACCAACCTGTCTCCATATTTTGCATGTCTTACCACATGGGCTCAGTTGCACTCCTTTTGGCAAAGCGGTTCTCCCATGTGGGAGTATGATAAGGCATGCAAAATATGGAACCAGTGTGGTTCCACAAGAATATATTGGCTCTGAAGAATACCATGTACTGGTAATTTGTGCTCTCCATGGTGTATTTTGCTTTTGTTATTGTATCCTGAACTCAATGCAGATACATACGCTGTTCTCAAAGGAGACTTATCTAGTAATGATAGATGTCTCCAATAAGGAGAAATGCAGTGAATTAGCAGAGAGAAGCAGAAATTAATAAATAAAAATGTGACCGAGAGTTGAATTTTATAGTTAAATAATTTTGGAGCACCGTAAAGTAAATTTTAGTGAATTGTATTTATTGTATTGTATGTTGTTCTGTACTGTTTTAATGTTTTAACTTGGGCATTCGTGCCCCTTGTGAGCTGCCCTCAGCCTTCGGGGAAGGTGGGGTATAAATTTAAAGATAAATTTAAAAAAAAAAATTAAAAAAATTATGTCACATAACCTAGCTGAAATTTCTGTATGACATGGGACAATTAAGAAAACCCCCCCAGGTATTTACTTACCTGTTCCTTTGGGTTTTGGCCCTCCACGTGCCCAGGAGTCTCTTGAGAGACAGAAGAAATCCTGTGATTCTCAGAGATATTTGGGTCCCCCACAGAAAAAACAGGAATGAGAGGCCTAAGGAATCTGAACTCGCTGCTTAGTGATCCACCAGTTAGGCAAACATCATAGTGGTAAGTCCGGGAAAGTGATCCATTCTGAGAATCAATACCAGTTTCTGGGATCTCAGGTAAGGCACGTGGGAACTGAGGAAGGGCAGAGATAAAACTAGACTCTTTCTTGTGCATTTTGATGACAACAAACACAATGATGCAAATCAGGAACACAAAGGACACCGCAGCCAAGCAGATCACCAGGTACATGGTCAAGGAGCCATCTTCTTCACCGGCTTCGTGACTGACGCTTGCAATATTCAGATAAGGATCTGAAAAGCCATCCACAGGAAGGACATTCAGTGTTGCAGTGCTGGTCTGGGGAGGGTGGCCGTTGTCTCTCACCAGGATAATCAGTCTCTGCTTGTTTGTGTCTCGCTCTGTCAGTGGTCTCCTGGTTTTAACTTCTCCGTTCTGGGCTCCTATGCTGACAAGGCCGGGGTCCGTGGCCTTCAGCAGTTCATAGGACAGCCAAGAGTTCTGGCCCGAATCCCCATCCACAGCCACCACCTTGGCGACCAGGTAACCGGCCTCCGCTGACTTGGGAACCAGCTCGTTGAAGGGGGAGGTGCTGTTCTGAAGTGGGTAGAGGAAAAAGGGGGTATTATCGTTTTCATCCAGGATCACAACTCGAACAACAACTTCCGAGCTCAGTGGAGGAGAGCCCCCATCTGAAGCCCTCACTCTCACTTGGAACTCCTTGATCTGCTCATAATCCAGAGATCGCAGGACATAGAGGTTCCCCGTCTCAGAGTTGATGGAAACATAGGGGGCCACGGGAGAACCACTGGCATTTCCAGGCACAAGAGAATAGGTCACCTTGGCATTCTGCTCCACGTCCAGATCGACAGCATGGACCGAACCCATCAGCAGGCCTGGAATGTTGTTTTCCCAAACTTGCATTTCATACTTGGACTTCTCAAACTCTGGAGAGTTGTCATTGACGTCTGAGATTAAAACCATAATTGTTCTTTTTGTAATGAGCCTTGGAGAGCCCTGGTCAGTCGCTGTGATGGTGATGTTATACTCAGAAACTTTCTCTCTGTCTAGTGGACTTTGTGTCACAAGTTGATAATAATTGTTCAGTGTCTTTTTTAACAGAAATGGTGACTGTATCCCTACAGAGCAGGAGGTCCTCCCATTGTCTCCAGAATCTTGGTCTGCGACACTGAAGAGCACGACCAGAGTATCTAGGGGAGAATCTTCTGCCAAAGGGCTGATGATGGTTATGACCGATATCTCAGGGGCATTGTCATTCTCATCCTCAATTTCCACCAGGACTTTGCAGTGGCCTGAACGACCCCCTCCATCAGTTGCCTTGATGTTCAAATAATAGCTGGTTACCTTTTCATAGTCAATTGGACCCAAAACAGTGATTTCCCCAGTAGTTTGATGCAAGTGGAATAAATGCCTTATTTTCTCAGGCACCTGATGGAAGGAGTAGGTTATTTCTGCATTTGAACCAAAATCTAAATCTCTGGCTTCCACTTTCAAGACCAGAGTATCCCGAGGGCTGTTTTCCTTTAAACCTACTGTATATTCAGATTGTGCAAACTCAGGGAAGTTGTCATTACTGTCCAGAACACTGACCTTTATTAGAACTGTTCCCGTTCTCTGGGGCACCCCTCCATCAACTGCTGTGAGGGTCAGCCCCAACTGAGCCTCTTTCTCCCTGTCTAGTGGTTTCTCCAGAACAAGTTCCAAATGCTTCTTTCCACTCCTGCCACTGTGAATTTCCAAGTGAAAATTTTCATTGGGACTAAGGGTGTAATTCTGAATACTGTTTTTGCCCATGTCTATATCTTGGGCAGATTCCAATGGGAATCGAGTGTTTGTGGGAACATTCTCAGGAATGGACAGGTCAAGTTCAGTTTGAGAGAATGCTGGAGAGTTGTCATTTATATCTTCTACCTGCATCTCAATGCTGTAGATTGTTAAGGGGTTCTGGAGCACAATTTCAGACAATAGTAAGCAAGGCTCCATCTCATCACATAAAGCTTCCCTGTCTATCTTTTCATTTACAAATAGATTCCCAGAATGATCATCCAGCTGGAAATACTGCTTCTTGCTTTTGGAAACCAGCTGGGCTCTGCGAGCAGAGAGCTCCCCCAGTCCCAGCTTCAAATCCTTCAGCACATTAGCCACCAGAGACCCACTTTTCTTCTCCTCAGGCAAAGAATAGCGAATTGAGACACACACCACTCCAGACAGAGAGAGTAAGAAAAAAAGGTACAGACCTTTCATGATCCTGAAGCTATGGTCCATGGTGCCAGACTCTCGCAGGTCAGATATTTATAGTTTTCAAAACATGAAGCAGCTGGGTACTATCCAGAGATATCTTCTTTTCCTGGAATAATTAATTTTGATCTGCTGTGTCCATTGCTTTTTGTCCTTGAATCTTCCCATCAGCTTCCTTCCCTCTGCATTCAGAGTGTCTCTGCCTGTTAGGTTCCTGTTCGCACTGCTACAAATGAAATGCCAGAAATGCCATTTGCAACTCATCTGTTTGCCAATACTGCCCTCTTGTGGTCCTATTAGGAGAAAACCATGGAAGTTGCATGTCTAGTATAGGACCAGATCTCAAACTTTTTTGGGGGGAAGCTTGACTGCTATCTTACTCTGCCTTTTAGAATCTGTCTGCAAAGTCATTCCCCGCTACTCCCCCTCCCCTATGCGCACAAATATAAGATTCTCATCTAAGTTATTATTGAACAAGTTAATGTTTATGGGGTCGCAAAGAGTCGGACTCGACTGTGCGACTGAACAACAACAAATGCATAGCAATTGTGATAAATGATGTGCATAAAGATCTCTCAGCCATTTTGCACTTTATGCATATAGAATACACACCTACTTGAATGCAACTGCAGCCAATCACACCCTCTTGATCAATGTGTTCAATGCTCTTGTTTACACACACCAGACTATTAGTACATCTAAAAATGCCAACCTAGCAGTTTGAAAGCAAGAAATTGCAAGTAGATAAATAGGTACCACTTCGGTGGGAAGGTCACAGCGTTCCGTGCGCCTTGGTGTTTAGCCATGCTGGCCACATGACCACGGAAACGTCTTCGGACAGCGCTGGCTGTTCGGCTTTGAAACGGAGATGAGCACCGCAACCCTAGAGTCGGATTCGACTGGCTTTCGAGCAAGGGAACCTTTACCTTTTTAAAAATGCAACATATGTCTCAGCTGATTGACTCAGCAGCCCCACCCCCAAATGTAGGCTACCGAGCACAGTGGGTTGGGTTGCCAGCCAGGGACCTTTGGGGGGTGAGGCAATGCATTGCCTGGCATCATGGCAATGCCAGTGTTGGCCCCACAATTTCTCCCACTGCTTCACTGGGCGGCAGCAGGGAGCAGAGGGAGGGTCCCCCTCACTGTACGACTATCTTCTATTTATCGATTGATGGATTGATTTTAGAAAATTTGTACCCCACCTTTCCACTCTCGCTGGTCCACCAAGGCTGCTAACAGATGAAAACATATATGATAAAATAACATTTTAAAACCATTAAAACCAACAACAACAAATTGAAAGTCACTTCAGAGGAGATGGGGTCTTGGTGATGGGTCAGCCAGGCAAAGAGGGAGGCCAACCTTACCCCTAAAGGAACAGGTTTCTTTTGGTTCTGGACTTCTGGAGATTTTTTTGCTTCCATTTTGTTTTGCTTCTTTAAAAGATCCTCATTTGTTTGTTTTTCAGTTTTCATTTCCAGCTGTTTTCAATGGGAAAACACAGTTACACTATAACTTGTTTGTTTTCCATCTGAATAAAACCCTCATCACCCAACGAATCATCACTACCAAGTTCCATGGACACAGGTGAAAGATCCCAAATTTTTCAGCAATTATTGATGTTGTTAGTTACTAGATGCTGTTAGTTACTGGATTTTTTTGAGAGGACTGGAGGACTGCAATGTCTGCTACTAATGTCCTAGTGGTGTTTGTGTGACTGTATGATTTTGGTGGTTTTATGCGTGCCTAACCCTATATCGGAGCTGCGGTGGCTCAAGTGGTTAAGACGCTGAACTGCAGGATGTGGAAGGTCAGTAGTTCAGCAGTTCGAGACCCAAGTGTGCCTCATGATGGAGTGAGGAATCAGCCTTGAGGGTAATAAGCTTCAGAAAGTCAGAAAGCTAATGACCGGGAGGCAGGAGGGTTGAAGAAAGAATTCCAGCATTCAGCAACAGGCTTGGGAAAATGATCTGTGGAAGAAGAGGTCCAATGGAAAGAGGGGCAGAGGACCCCCAAAATAGGAGGATTTCACCCAAAGCGTGATTAACACATGGACTTAACCCAAAGAGTGATTAACACATGGAATTCACTGCCACTGGAGGTGGTGGCAGCTACAAGCATGGTCAGCTTCAAGAGGGAATTAGATAAGCATATGGAGCAGAGGTCCATCAGTGGCTATTAGCCACAAGGTATAGATAGGAACTCTCGGTCTGGGGCAAGGGATGCTCTGTGTTCTTGGTGCAGGGGGGGGGGGCAACAGTGGGAGGGCTTCTAGTTTCCTGGCCCCACTGGTGGACCTCCTGATGACACCTGGTATATTTGGGGTGCTGTGTGACAGAGTGCTGTACTAGATGGGTCATTGGCCTGATCCAATATTGGCTTCTCTCATGTTCTTATGAGGATGAGCCAGCTTCAAAAGGATGGTTGGCTCAATAGAAAAACCTTTCGTGGGTCTTAGGCACAGGAAGATCTGACAGCAAGGAGAATAGCCTACAGATGAAAGGAACAGGAACCATAAAGGCACAGCCCAAAGAAGATGGAGTAGAGCTACATGTCATGTACTGAGTGCAAATACATGCACTGTTCCTAAATGACATTTATCTAGCCATGATAGACATCACCAATAAGGAGAAAAACAATGAAACAACACACAGAATAAATTCATAAATTTAAAAAATATGACTGACGTTTCAGCAAAAAGCATTTCCACAGTCACATAAGCCAGTGGAACATTCCCTAGAACATGGGGCAATAAAGAAAACACAACAACTTACTCACCTGTTCTCTTTGTTCTTGGCCTTCTGCCTGCTGATGAGTCTCTTGAGAGACAGAAGAAATCCTGTGATTCTCAGAGATATTTGGGTCCCCCATAGAGAAAACAGGAATGAGAGGCCTAAGGAATCTGAAATCGCTGCTTAGTGATCCACCGGTTAGGCAAACATCATAATGGTAAGTCCGGGAAAGTGATCCACTCTGAGAATCGACACCAGTTTCTGGGATCTCAGGTAAGGCAGGTGGGAACTGAGGAAGGGCGGTGATAAAACTAGAGTCTTTCTTGTACATTTTAATGGCAACAAACACAATGATGCAAATCAGGAACACAAAGGACACCGCAGCCAAGCAGATCACCAGGTACATGGTCAAGGAGCCATCTTCTTCAACGACTTCATGACTGACACTTGCAATATTCAGATAAGGATCGGAAAAGCCATCCACCGGAAGTACATTCAGGGTTGCAGTGCTGGACTGGGGAGGGTGGCCGTTGTCTCTCACCAGGATAATCAGTCTCTGCTTGTTTGCATCTCGCTCCGTCAGTGGTCTTTTGGTTTTGACTTCTCCATTCTGGACTCCTATGCTGAAAAGGCCGGGATCTGTAGCCTTCAGCAGTTCATAGGAAAGCCAAGAGTTCTGGCCTGAATCCCCATCCACAGCCACCACCTTGGCGACCAGGTAACCGGCCTCCACCATCTTGGGAACCAGCTCGTTGTAGGGGGAGGTGCTGTTCTGAAGTGGGTAGAGGAAGAAGGGGGCATTATCGTTTTCATCCAGGATCACAACTCGAACAACAACCTCTGAGCTCAGTGGAGGAGAGCCCCCATCTGAAGCCCTCACCATCACTTGGAATTCCTTGATCTGCTCATAATCCAGAGACCGCAGGACAAAGAGATTCCCCGTCTCAGAGTTGATGGAAACAAAAGAGGCTGCAGGAGCACCACTGGCATTTCCAGGCACAAGAGAGTAGGTCACCTTGGCATTCTGCTCCACGTCCAGATCGACAGCACGGACTGAACCCATCAGCAGGCCTGGAATGTTGTTTTCCCACACTTGCATTTCATACTTGTACTTCTCAAATGCTGGAGAGTTGTCATTGACATCTGAGATTAAAACTGTAATTGTTCTCTTTGTAGTGAGCCTGGGAAAACCTTGATCAGTCGCTGTGATGGTGATGTTATACTCAGGGACTTTCTCTCTGTCCAGCGGCGTTTGGGTCACCAGTTGATAATAATTATTCACAGTGTTTTTTAATAGAAAGGGCAAGTTCATCTCCATGGAGCAGGAAGTCTTACCATTTTCTCCAGAGTCTCGGTCTGTGACACTTAAGAGGATGACCATGGTATCTAAAGGAGAGTCTTCTGCCAAAGGGCTGGTGACAGATATGACTGAGATCTCAGGTACATTGTCATTCTCATCCTCGATTTCCACCAGGACCTTACAATGGCCTGTATGACCACCTCCGTCCGTTGCCTTGATCTTCATATAATATTTGGTTTCTTTTTCATAGTCAATTGGACCTAAAACGGTGATTTCCCCAGTCATTTGATGCAACTGGAACAAGTTGCTTATTCTCTCAGGCACCTGATGGAATGAGTAAGTGACCTCTGCATTTGAACCAAAATCTAAATCTCTTGCTTCCACTTTCAAGACCAGAGTATCTGGAGGGCTATTTTCCTTTAAACTCACTATATATTCAGATTGTGCAAACTGAGGGAAGTTGTCATTAATGTCCAGAACCTTAATATTTATTTGAACTGTGCCCGTTCTCTGGGGCGACCCTCCATCAACTGCTGTGAGAGTCAGCAACAAATGAGCCTCCTTCTCCCTGTCTAGTGGTTTTTCCAGAACAAGGTCCAGATTTTTATTTCCATCCCTGCCACTTTGTATTTCCAGCTGAAAATTCTCATTGGGACTTAGGGTGTAGTTCTGAATACTGTTTTTGCCCAAGTCTCTATCTTGGGCTGGTTCCAGTGGGAATCGACTATTTGTGGGAGCATTCTCAGGAATAGACAGGTCAAGTTCAGTTTGAGAGAATGCTGGAGAGTTGTCATTTATATCTTCTATCTGCATCTCAATGCTGTAGATTGTTAAGGGGTTCTGGAGCACAATTTCAGACAAAAGTAAGCAAGAATCCATCTCACCACACAAAGCTTCTCTGTCTATCTTTTCATTTACAAACAGATTCCCAGAATGGGTATCCAGCTGGAAATATTGCTTATGGCTTTTGGAAACTAGCTGGGCTCTGCGAGCAGAGAGCTCCCCTGGTCCCAGCTTCAAATCCTTCAGCACATTAGCCACCAGAGACCCACTTTTCTTCTCTTCAGGCAAAGAATAGCGAATAGAGACACACACCACTCCAGACAGAGAGAGTAAGAACAAAAGGTACAGACCTTTTCTCATCCTGAAGATATCGTCCATGGTGCCAGACTCTCCCAGGTCAGAAATTTATGGTTTTCAGAACATGAAGAAGCTGGGTACTATCCAGAGATATTTTATCCTTCTGGAATGATTAATTTTGATCTGCTGTGTCCATTGCTTTTCGCTTTTGAATCTTTCTGTGTATCCAGCACCTTCCTTCCCTCTGCATTCACAATGTCTCTGCCTGTTAGGTTTCTGCTAGTTCTACAAATGAAATGCCTGAAATGCCATTTGCAACTCATCTGTTTGCTAATACTGCCATCTTGTGGTCCTACCAGAAGAAAACCATGAAAATTGTATGTCTATTTAAGTTCTCAACTTTTTGGGAGCAAATTGACTGTTATCTTACTTTGCCTTTTAGAATCCACGTGCAAAGTCGTTCCCGGCTACTCCCCCTCCCGTATGCACACAAAATGGAAGACTCTAATCTAAGTTACTATTGAACAACTTAATGTTTTATTTTTAAGGTTTATTAATAAATAGCAATAGTGAGCAATGCTTTGCATAAAGATCTCTCAGCCATTTTTCACTTTATGCATATAAAATACACACTAACTGGAACAGAACTGCAGCCAATCACACCCACTTGATCAATGTGTTCAATGTTCTTATTTACACACACCAAACTATTAGTACATCTAAAACGCAACGTATGAAGTGGCTCCTACTGCCTTGGTTGACAAAACAAACTTCTGCTGGAAAGACAAAGGAACACAGGGCAGAGTGCATCCCCACTGAGTGGGAAGCCGAGGAAAGACAGGAAATTCCACCCACTTTTACAGTCTCCTCTTCTAGTTCACCTTTTCCCTCCGCCTCCCTTCTGGCAGACGATATAGCCCCAACCCACAGTTTAAAAGCCACTGCATAAACAGTAAGCCAATCTGCATTTTGTTTAAATCAGTGGTACTGAGCCATGCGTCACTCTTTGACATGCCACTTGAACTTCTGAATACCATTTCCCAATGTGGCACCCACCATATATTTCAGGAAAGCGGGCAAGGCTACTGCCCAGTGGTGTTATTTGGCAGCCAAGTGGTCCCCATCTTGAAACAGCTGTCACTGAATGACAGGGAGTCTCCCTGAACTGCAGGCCGCCTGTCAGGGACAGAATGGTCCAACAACCCCTCAGCCTTCTCCACAAGCTCAGTTTTTTTAAAAACATCCCAGTTAATAAAGCTGGAGAACTTGAAAGCTTGCATACACAACTGTGTCATAGGTCTGACTTGCAAGCCATTCCCTTCCCTCCTTATACTTCAGAACTGCCCAAAGGTGGGGAGAGAGAATGGGTGATTCCGCACTAGACCTTAAATCCTCGTTCAGCCCTGTCCCCACACTTACATTCTATACTGCACTCGGGTTCACGTCTCTAATTATCTCGGGGTATTTTTTTGTTTCCACATCTCATCGAGGTCACCCCAGTTTTGTCCCACACTTGTCTCGGGATAAACGGGTGCTGTAATAACCAGGGATAAAGGCAAGGTATTGTGTACGAGTTGAGCTCTGATAAAATCAGGGATGAAATTCAAGTGCAGAAAGGTCCAATGTTTCATGCTTAAAGGTATACTGGTAACTGAAAAAACTGCAGTTACAGTTAGGTATTTAATATTAATTGATATGTCTTATTGTATGTGTTTGCTTAGTGAGATGCTGCACAGGATTAGAGGTGTGCATTTGGATATATCCAAGCTAAAAAAATGTTATTCAACCGAATCGACATTTCAGGATCATTTGGCTGTAAAATATAGTCGATCACAACCCCCCCAAAAAATATTTGGGATTATATGGGAATGCTGGATAGCCACAGTTAAAAGGCAATTAAGGCAACTGCAGCCCCTTTAAATGTCTTCAAGGTGTACTAGTAGTTTGGAGAGGGTGTTTAAAAGGACCACAAGCCCTTTAAACTTTTCCCCTCCATTGGAAATAATGGAGGATGGGGGTCACCTTCTTTGGGGGCCCATAGAATTGTACCCCCTGGTCCAATCTTTTTGAAACCTGGGTATTCTTTGGAGGAGAGGCGCCAGCAGCTATATCTCCAAATTTATTTTCTATTATATACTATGGGGACTATTAAACATAATGGTCTCCATATGCTATAATGGAGCTGAAAAAAATTGAGATTCCTGAAAAATTCCGTATCTGAATATTGTAGTGTAAGTAATATCAATATTTTTCTGATCCATTACACCTGAATCCGGTAAATGATGATTTTAGTTTTATGCACACCCCTACAGATCATACAGCACTCAGGAGGCTCTTTTAGTTGACAATATTTCTAAATATGGCTCTCCATGAGCCATGCAGTCAGTACAACTGGCTTAGATTTATACTAATTTGGAAGTGATACTATAACATTTTATGTAGTTAATGTTCATATTAAACATGATGGTTAAATTCCTCTGTATGTGCAAAAGCAGAAACAAGAGCAAACAAAGGAGAGATATTTGGGTGCAATGATGAAAACCTCTGTTTCATTTCCATTGATACAGGGGTGTTAGTGAGTAGTTTACACTGAACTGTTATTAATATCAATATTTGCGGGATTCAGTTATTATGAATTCTATGCGAAATCAATTCTTCTCACCTGACTCCTGCACTGATCTTCTGTATGGTGACTAGAAGTCAATCAATCAATTTATTTGGCTCACATGCCCAATGGTCTCAAGCACATCCACAGAATGTGACTAAAAGTCTATGAATCTCCCTGATTTTCAGCAGGCTCCACAGAAAATCAGGACAGAGAAGCTTGAGAAACATGAACTTGCTGTTCAGAGATCGACCAGCTAAGCACACCTCACAGTTGTAAGTCTGGGAAAGGAAACCAGAACCAGCATCTTCACAGTTATCCTGGAAATTTAGTCCCACTGGGAAATTCAGGGCAGAGTTCTCTTTTCTGAATCTTTATGACAATAAGTTCCACCATAGAAACGAGAAAAATGAACGAGATGACAGCCAAACATGTGACCAGATACATAGTTAGGATATGGTCTTGGTCCTCTACCTCGTCATCCTTTGGGATATCCACCATTTCCATATAAGGGTCAGAAAAGCCATCCAGTAGCAAAATGCATAGAGTTGTGGAGATGGCCTTGGGAGGGTAACTCTTGTCTCTGACTCTGATGATAAGTTTCTGTTTGAATTTGGCTCATATGTTAATTGGCCTCATTGGCCTCATTTGTTCATTAGTCTCATGGTTTTGACTTCTCCATTTGGGGGCCCCACGCTGACAAGACCCAGTTCTGTGGAGGACCAAGAGTTCTGACCAGAATCTCTGTCCACTGCCACCACCTTGGTGACCAGGTAGCCAGTCTCAATCCCCCCGGGAACCAGGTCATTGGACAGGGAAAGCATCATTTTGAAGAGGATACAGAGTGAATGACACATTATTATTTTCATCCATGAAAACTACTCAGACAATAACTTTGGAGCTCAGTGGAAGAGAACTGCTATCCAGAGCACTTACATTCACCTGGAACTCTTTCACCTGCTCATAGTCCAGAGATCAGATGGCACACAGATTCCCAGTTTCAGAGTTGATGGAGACATAAGAGGACACAGGTTGATCGCTGATCTTTCCAGGCAAACGAGAATAGGTCACCAGCTTTTTGTTCCATGTCTGGCTTGGACCAGACCTATGAACAGACCTGGAATATTATTTTCCTGTAATAGCATTTCATAAACTGACTTTTCAAATTCTGGAGAATTGTCATTGACATCTGAGATCTCCACATTAATTATTCTTGCTGAAGTGAGCCTGGGTGAGGCCCAGTCTGTGTCTGTGATGGTGCTGTTATATTCTAAGGCTCTTTCTTGGGTCTAGGGGTTGCTGGTTCACCAGCTGGTAATACATTCAGGTGGCTAGCTGTGTTGGTCTGAAGCAACCGAACAAAATTCGAGTTCAGCAGCACCTTTAAGACCTACAAAGTTGTATTCAATGGATAAGCTTTTGTGTGCCTACACACTTCTTCAGATACATTGAAATGGAAGTTACCAGTTAATAGATATAGGTAGAGAGTGAGCAGCAGATTAGCATACAACATAATGATGTTTAATAGATGCAACATAACACTGCACAATTAATCACCCCACCTTAAAGAAAAGGATGCTGTTAGTTTCCTCCATGCTTGAGGAGAGATGGATGGAACATAACAACAGGGTCTCAGTTAATTACCCTCAGCATGGGTAAGAAGGGTACATTTACAAATCAATCTCCAACTTCGATATATTTATATGCTTCATTATATTCTCCCCTGGAATTAAATCCAAACAAATGGTGACCATATTAATAAAGCTTGTTATTCCTGTTTGGGTCTTGCACCTGTTAAACATTGACAAATCTGCAGCCTACCTGACTTCATTGGAAGTAAATAGTTTCAGAAGGGCATACGCTTCGGCAAGATTTTTGAACAAACTCCATTCAATGCAGTCAAAAGCTTTTTCTTCATCACATAGCATTAAAGTAACTTTTAGCTCTTTCTGTCCCACATAAATCCATAGAGCATACATTTTTAGCTGCCCACATTATAAAGCAGCTTTTGAGGAGACTCTATTATTGGATAAGATTCTTGTGTTTACTGAAAAAGCTAAGCTTGATTATCTTTTATGTGATGAGAACCCTAGGAATACGTACCATGTTGCCAAATTCTGTGTCTTGCTATTTAGGTTATGGAAATTGTATTGTAGCCAGGTTTAAATTTTATTAGATCATGTTTTATTTTATAAATGTTGTAAAACTGGTTATATGTTTGGTCAAATATTCGTACCAATGAAGAACTGAATTGAGATTTTTGAACAAACTCCATTCAATGCAGTCAAAAGCTTTTTCTTCATCACATAGCATTAAAGTAACTTTTAGCTCTTTCTGTCCCACATAAATCCATAGAGCATACATTTTTAGCTGCCCACATTATAAAGCAGCTTTTGAGGAGACTCTATTATTGGATAAGATTCTTGGTTTTACTGAAAAAGCTAAGCTTGATTATCTTTTATGTGATGAGAACCCTAGGAATACGTACCATGTTGCCAAATTCTGTGTCTTGCTATTTAGGTTATGGAAATTGTATTGTAGCCAGGTTTAAATTTTATTAGATCATGTTTTATTTCCACTCTCACTGGTCTCACTGGTCCACCAGGGCTGCTAACAAATTAAAACATATGTGATAAAATCACATTTTAAAACCATTAAAACAAACTGAGGCCCCGGTCACACAACAAAGTTGCCGCGGGAGAGGCACAGAAGGTGGGTGGATTATCCGGGCTCGATCACACCCCAACATCTGGGAAGTGGAGCGCACCCGTGGCTTACGGCCAACAATGCACATTTAAAAATTAGTGCCTCCAAGGTACTAGTAAATGTTTGCCTCCAGATGCCTGTGGTGTGATCGCGCCAGCACACGGCATTCCCCTCCAGTCCCTCGTTTACCCACCGGCGCCAAGGGAAGGACCCGTGGTGTGCCGCCGGTGCATCTGATCGTGTAATTGCGGATCAAACTGCACCGGGGCAATTAGCCATGCCTCCCCCCCGGTAATATCTGGCCCGTGTGACCGGGGCCCAAAACAACTTTCCTTCTCTCACTTTCACACTAACCAGGAATTCTTGGCAATGTGTCATTCTCTGTTCCCACCTCCTAAAATACCTTTCCCTTTCAAGGTTCTCTAAGACTGACTTTTAGTCTAATGATGTCTGTGCACCTTGACAGGCACACCAATCAGGGCAGATGGTGCTATGGCTCCTCAGGAAACAGAAGGGAGGCAAAAACAAGCCTGAGAAGAGTCTGTTTGCAGCCATCAAATATGAGGCAAACATAAGAAACACAGGAACTGTGTGGGTAATATACTCGTATTTTAAACTGGCTGTGTTCCCACCCACATAGATAACAGTGTATGAAAATGCAAATATATAACTAACATTTCATAGCTTTTTTGTGCGTCATACTGGCATACATGGAGAAGCTCTGATTTTCTCACAAAGTCAGGCTTACGGGAAAAAAGCTTCAGAAAGTCAGAAAGCTAATGACCAGGAGGCAGGGATGTTGAAGAAAGAATCCCAGCATTCCACAATGGGCTTGGCAAAATGGGCTTGATTAAATGATCTGTGGAAGAAAAGATCCAATGGAAAGAGGGGCAAAGGAACAACAAAATAGAAGGATGAGCCAGCTTCAAAAGGATGGTCGACTCAACGGAAAAACCTTTCTTGAGCCCTAGGCACAAGAGGAAATGACATCAAGGATTACAAGCCTAATAAGGAAAACAACAGGGATAACAAAGGGACAATCCTAAAGTAGATGGAGAAGCACAGCTGAGTATCCTGAACTCAATGCAAATACATACACTTGTTCTCCAATGGCACTTATCTAGTCACGACAGATGTCTCTAATAAGAAGAAATGCAATTAACAGAGAGAGGCAGAAATTGTGGGGAATTTCAGACAGGTGCTTTCTCCCGGTAGGGAACCGATTCTCATCCGGGTGCTGGTCTGTCATTTCAGACAGAACCCGGTTGAGAATCGGTTCCCTACCGGGATCTGACTGCCATTTCACACTCAAAAGTCTCTGTTCCGTATAGGAACCAGGAGGGAAGCGATTTACCTGTCAACCGCTTCCGAGGAGTCTCCCGTTCCCTCTCCCGGTTCCGATACGGTTCTTTCCCGCCTTTTTTCAGCCGCGCGGGCTTTTTTTTTTTTTTGAACGTTCGGCTTATATCGATATATCGATATAACGCTATAGCGATCCCATTGGAATACATTGGAATACTGGTATATCAATATATCGCTATAAGACGGACTTTTAAAAAAAAGTGGGGAAACAAAGCGGTGCGTGTGTGAAACGCCGAACCGCTTATGAATTGGCTCCTTTCCGGTAGGGGCAAGCCGTGTGTGAAACGGCAGCCCTGTACCGGTTCATCTGGAAACAGAAGACTCCCGGCTTAAAACCGGGAGAAGACAGGTAATGTGAAATTCCCCAACATTAAAAATTCTGACAAAACATAACCCAGCTGAAATTTCTGAATGACATGAGACAATTAAGGAGCCCCCCCCCCAGCTATTTACATACCTGTTCTCTTTCTTTTTGGCCCTCCACCTGCTCAGAAGTCTCTTGAGAGATAGACGAAATCCTGTGATTCTCAGAGACATTTGGGTCCCCCACAGAAAAAACAGGAATGAGAGGCCTAAGGTATCTGAAATCGCTGCTTAAGGATCCACCAGTAAGGCAAACATCATAATGGTAGGTCCGGGAAAGTGATCCACTCTGAGAATCGACACCAGTTTCAGGGATCTCAGGTAAGGCAGGTGGGAACTGAGGAAGGGCGGTGATAAAACTAGACTCTTTCTTGTGAACTTTGATGGCAACAAACACAATGATGCAAATCAGGAACACAAAGGACACCGCAGCCAAGCAGATCACCAGGTACATGGTCAAGGAGCCGTCTTCCTCACCAGCTTCATGACTGACGCTTGCAACATTCAGATAAGGATCTGAAAAGCCATCCACCGGAAGGATATTCAGGGTTGCAGTGCTGGTCTGGGGAGGGTGGCCATTGTCTCTCACCAGGATAATCAGTCTCTGCTTGTTTGTGTCTCGCTCTGTCAGTGGCCTCCTGGTTTTGACTTCTCCGTTCTGGGCTCCTATGCTGAAAAGGCCGGGGTCTGTGGCCTTCAGCAGTTCATAGGAAAGCCAAGAGTTCTGGCCCGAATCCCCATCTACAGCCACCACCTTGGCGACCAGGTAACCGGCCTCCACTGACTTGGGAACCAGCTCGTTGAAGGGGGAGGTGCTGTTCTGAAGTGGGTAGAGGAAGAAGGGGGCATTGTCGTTTTCATCCAGGATCACAACTCGAACAACAACCTCTGAGCTCAGTGGAGGAGAACCCCCATCTGAAGCCCTCACTCTCACTTGGAACTCCTTGATCTGCTCATAATCCAGAGATCGCAGGACGTACAGATTCCCCGTCTCAGAGTTGATGGAAACATAAGAGGCTGCAGAAGCACCACTGGCATTTTCTGGCACAAGAGAATAGGTCACCTTGGCATTCTGCTCCACGTCCAGATCGACAGCACGGACCGAACCCATCAGCAGGCCGGGAATGTTGTTTTCCCACACTTGCATTTCATACTTGGACTTCTCAAACACTGGAGAGTTGTCATTGATGTCTGAAATTAAAACTGTAATGGTTCTTTCTGTAGTGAGCTTGGGAGAGCCCTTATCAGTAGCTGTGATGGTGACGTTATACTCAGAGACTTTCTCTCTGTCTAGTGGACTTTGGGTCACAAGTTGATAATAATTGTTCAGTGTTGTTTTTAAAAGAAAAGGGGACTGTATCCCTACAGAGCATGAGGTCCTCCCGTTGTCTCTAGAGTCTCGGTCTGTGACACTGAAAAGCACAACCAATGTATCTAGGGGAGAATCTTCTGCCAAAGGGCTGGTGATGGTTATGACTGATATTTCTGGGGCATTGTCATTCTCATCCTCAATTTCCACCAGGACCTTGCAGTGGCCTGAGAAGCCCCCTCCATCTGTTGCTTTGATGTTCATATAATACCTGGTTTCTTTTTCATAGTCAATTGGACCCAAAACAGTGATTTCCCCTGTAGTTTGATGCAACTGGAACAATTGGCTTATTTTCTCAGGCGCCTGATGGAATGAATATGTGATCTCTGCATTTGAACCCAAATCCAAATCTCTGGCTTCCACTTTCAAGACCAGAGTATCTCGAGGGCTGTTTTCCTTCAAACTCACTATGTATTCAGATTGTGCAAACTCAGGGAAGTTGTCATTGGTGTCCAGAACATTAATATTGATTTGAACTGTGCCTGTTCTCTGGGGCACCCCTCCATCAACAGCTGTGAGTGTCAGCCCCAACTGAGCCGCTTTCTCCCTGTCTAGTGGTTTCTCCAGAACAAGTTCCAAATGTTTCCTTCCACTCCTGCCACTTTGAATTTCCAAGTGAAAATTTTCATTGGGACTGAGGGTGTAGTTCTGGATGGTGTTTTTGCCCAAATCAGTATCTTGGGCAGATTCCAGGGGGAATCGAGTGTTTGTGGGAGCATTCTCAGGAATAGATAGGTTAAGTTCAGTTTGGGAGAATGCTGGAGAGTTGTCATTTATATCTTCTACCTGCATCTCAATGCTGTAGATTGTTAAGGGGTTCTGGAGCACAATAGTGAATAGAGACACACACCACTCCAGACAGAGAGAGTAAGAACAAAAGGTACAGACCTCTTCTGATTCTGAAATGATCCTCCATGGTGCCAGACTCTCCCAGGTCAGATATTTATGGTTTTCAGAACATGAAGCAGCTGGGTACTATCCAGAGATATCTTCTTTTCCTGGAATAATTAATTTTGATCTGCTGTGTCCATTCCTTTTTGTCCTCGAGTCTTCCCATCTATCCAGCAGCTCCCTTCCCTCTGCATTCAGAGTGTCTCTGCCTGTTAGGTTTTTGCTAGTGCTACAAATGAAATGCCAGAAATGCCATTTGCAGCCCATCTGTTTGCTAATACTGCCATCTTGTGGTCTTACTAGAAGAAAACCATGAAACTTGCATGTCTCTTTAAGTTCTCAAACTTTTTGGAGCAGATTGACTGCTTTCTTACTCTGCCTTTTAGAATCCACGTGCAAAGTCTTTTCCTGCTACTACCTCCCCCCATGAACACAAACTGTAAGAATCTTGACACTGTCTAACCATCTCATCCTTTGCCGTCCCCGTCTTCTTTGACCTTCAATCTTTCCCAGCATCAGGGTCTTCTCCAGTGAGTGCTCCCTTCTCATTTGGTGGCCAAAGTATTTGAGCTTCAGTTTCATTATCTGGCCTTCCAGGGAACAGTCAGGGTTGATTTCTTTGAGGATTGACTGATTTGTTCTTCTTGCAGTCCAAGGGACTCTCAAGAGTCTTCTCCAGCACCATAGTTCAAAAGAATCTATTCTTCGGCGCTCGGCCTTCCTTATAGTCCAGCTCTCGCAGCCATACATGACTACTGGGAATACCATTGCTTTGACCATGCGGACTTTTGTTGGCAGGGTGATGTCTCTACTTTTTATCATGCTGTTTAGGTTCGCCATCGCTTTCCTCCCAAGGAGCAGGCGTCTTTTAATTTCATGGCTGCAGTCACAGTCTGCGGTGATCTGGGATCCCAGGAACGTGAAGTCTGTCACTACTTCCACAGCTTCCCCTTCTATTTGCCAAGGAGTGATGGGGCCGGATGCCATGATCTTAGTTTTTTTGATGTTGAGCTTCAAGCCCACTTTTGCGCTCTCCTCTTTTACTCTGAGCAAGAGGCTCTTTAGATCCTTTTCACTTTCAGCCATTAGAGTGGTATCATCTGCATATCTGAGGTTGTTGATCTTTTCCCCAGCAATCTTAATTCCCGCTTGTGATTCATCCAGGCCAGCATTTCGCATGATGTACTCTGCATATATATTAAATAAGCAAGGTGACAGTATACATCCTTGTCGTACTCCTTTTCCTATGCTGAACCAATCAGTTGTTCCGTATCCGGTTCTAACTGTCGCTTCTTGGCCCTTATACAGGTTTCTCAAGAGACATGTGAGGTGGTCTGGTACTCCCATCTCTTTAAGGACCTGCCATAGTTTGTTGTGATCCACACAGTCAAAGGCTTTAGCATAGTCAATGAAGCAGAAGTAGATATTTTTCTGGTACTCTCTTGCTTTCTCCATAATCCAGCGAATGTTGGCAATATGATCTCTCGTTCCTCTACCTCTTCGAAACCCAGCTTGTACTTCTGGTAGTTCTCTATCCACGTACTGTTGAAGCCTAGCTTGTAGGATCTTGAGCATGACCTTGCTAGCGTGTGATATGAGTGCAATTGTGCGATAGTTTGAACATTCCTTGGCATTGCCCTTCTTTGGGATTGGAATGTATACTGATCTTTTCCAATCCTGTGGCCACTGTTGCGTTTTCCAAATTTGCTGGCAAATGGAGTGCAGAACTTTAACAGCATCATCTTCTAAGACTTTGAATAGCTCAGCTGGAATACCATCACCTCCACTAGCTTTGTTGTTAGTAATGCTTTCTAAGGCCCATTTAACTTCACATTCCAGGATGTCTGGCTCAAGGTCAGTGATTATACCGTCGTGTTTGTCAAGGACATTGAGGTCTTTCTTGTATAGTTCTTCTGTGTATTCTTGCCATCTTTTCCTAATCTCTTCTGCTTCTGTTAGGTCCCTACCGTTTTTGTCCTTTATCATGGCCAGCTTTGCATGGAACGCTCCCTTGATTTCTCCAATTTTCTTGAAGAGATCTCTAGTCCTTCCCATTCTATTGTTTTCTTCTATTACTTTGCACTGTTCATTCAGGAAGGCCTCCTTATCTCTCCTTGCTGTTCTCTGGAAATCTGCGTTCAGTTGGGTAAATCTTTCCTTTTCGCCTTTGCCTTTCGCTTTCCTTCTTTCCTCTGCTATTTGTAAAGCCTCATCAGAAAGCCATTTTGCTTTCTTGCATTTCTTTTTCTTTGGTATGGTGGTGATTGCTGCCTCCTGTACGATGTCACGAACCTCTGTCCATAGTTCTTCAGGCACTCTATCTATCAAATCCAGACCCTTGAATCTATTCTTCACCTCTACTGTATATTCATCAGGGATGCGATCTAGGTCAAACCTGAATGGCCTCGTGGTTTTCCCAATTTTCTTCAGTTTAAGTCTGAATTTTGCAATGAGTAGCTCATGATCTGAACCACAGTCAGCTCCAGGTCTTGTTTTTACTGACTGGATAGAGCTTCTCCATCTTTGACTGCAAATTATATAGTCAATCTGATTTCGGTGTTGCCCATCTGGTGATGTCCATGTGTAGAGTCGCCTCTTAGGTTGTTGGAAAAGGGTGTTCGCTATGACCAGTGTGTTCTCTTGACAAAACTCTGTTAACCTTTGCCCTGCTTCATTTTGCTTTCCAAGGCCAAACTTGTCTGTTATTCCAGTTACCTTTTGACTTCCTACTTTAGCATTCCAGTCCCCTATGATGATGAGGACATCATTTTTTGGTGTTAGTTCTAGGAGGTGTTGTAGGTCTTCATAGAACCGGTCCACTTCAGCCTCTTCTGCATCAGTGGTTGGGGCATAGACTTGGATTACTGTGATGTTGAATGGTTTGCCTTGGAATCGGACAGAAATCATTCTGTCATTTTTGAGATTGTATCCCAGTACTGCCTTTTGCACTCTCTTGTTGACTATAAAGGCCACACCATTTTTTCTACGAGATTCCTGGCCACAGTAGTAGATATAATGGTCTTCTGAGTTAAATTCGCCCATTCCTGTCCACTTTAGTTCACTGATTCCTAGGATATCGATGTTCAGTCTTGCCATCTCATTTTTGACCACGTCAAGCTTACCTTGATTCATAGATCTTACATTCCAGGTTCCTATGCAGTATTGTTCTTTGCAGCATCGGACTTTCCTTTCACCATCAGACACATCCACAACTGAGCGTCCTTTCGGCTTTGGCCCAGCCGCTTCACTCTTTCTGGGGTTACTTGTACTTGTCCTCTGCTCTTCCTCAGTAGCATATTGGACACCTTCCGACCTGAGGGGCTCATCTTCCGGCGTCATATCTTTTAGCCTTTTGATACTGTCCATGGGGTTTTCTTGGCAAACATACTGGAGTGGGTTGCCATTTCCTTCTCCAGGTGGATCACGCTTGGTCTGAGTTCTCTGCTGTGGCCTGTCCGTCTTGGGTGGCCCTTCACGGCATAGCCCACAGCTTCATTGAACTGCGCAAGCCCCCTCGCCACGACAAGGCAGTGATCCATGAGGGGGAGTTGCAACTGATCTGTTTGCCAATACTGCTCTCTTGTGGACCTACTAGAAAGACCAGAACTCAAACTTTGGGGGGAAGCTTGACTACCCTGTTTTCCCGAAAATAAGACCTACCCCCAAAATAAGCCCTAGCAGGATTTCTATGCATTTGTGGTATAAGCCCTAATGTGTCTTTTTGAGAAAAAATAATTTTCGGGGAAACACGGTACTATCTTACTCTGCCTTTTAGAATGCACGTGCAAAGTCATTCCCCACTACTCCCCCTCCCCTATGTACACAAATGTAAGATTCTCGTCTAAGTTACTTTTGGACAACTTAATGTTTTATTTTAAGGTTTATTAATAAATAGCAATAGTGAGCAATGATTTGCATAAATATCTCTCAGCCATTTTACACTTTATGCATACAACATACACACTTACTGAATGCAACTGCAGCCAGTCACACCCTCTTGATCAATGTGTTCAATGCTCTTGTTTACACACACCAGACTAGTCGTACATCTAAAAATGCAACATATGTCTCTGCTGATTTACTCAGCAGCCCCACCCCCAAATGTCAGCTACCGAGCACAGTGGGTTGGGTTGCCAGCCAGTGGGGCTTCAACCCCTGGGACCTTTGGGGGGTGAGGTAATGCATTGCCCGGCATCATGGCAATGCCAGCTTTGGCCCCACAATTTCTCCCACTGCTTCACTGGGCGGCAGCAGGGAGAAGAGGGAGGGTCCCCCTCACTGTACGACTATCTTCTATTTATCGATTGATGGATTGATTTTAGAAAATTTGTACCCCACCTTTCCACTCTCACTGGTCCACCAAGGCTGCTAACAGATTAAAACATATATGATAAAATAACATTTTAAAACCATTAAAGCCAACAACAACAAATTGAAAGTCACTTCAGAGGAGATGGGATCTTGATGCTGGGCCAGCCAGGCAAAGAGGGATTTCATTTGTCCTGCATAGGCCAACCTTACCCCGAAAGGAACAGGTTTTTTTTGGTTCTGGACTCAATAAAACAGAGTTTTGGAGGTTTTTTAAATTCCATTTTGTTTTGCTTTTTAAAAAGATCCTCATTTATTTGTTTTTCAGCTTTCATTTCCAGCTGTTTTCAATAGGATAATGCAGTTAAACTATAATTTGTTTGTTTTCCATCCCAATTAAATCCTCATCACCCAATGGATCATCAGTACTAAGTTCCATGGACACAGGTGAAAGATCCCAATTTTATGGGCAACTATTGATGTTGTTAGTTACTAGATGTTGTTAGTTACTAGATGTTGTTAGTTACTAGATGTTGTTAGTTACTAGATGTTGTTAGTTACTAGATTTTTGGAGAAAAATGGAGGACTGCAAGGGCTGCTTCTGATTTCCTAATGGGGTGTGTGTGTGTGTGATTTTGGTGATTTTAAGGGAGCACGCACTGGAGAAGACCCTGATGCTGGGAAAGATTGGAGGTCAAAGAAGACAGGGACGGCAAAGGATGAGATGGTTAGACAGTGTCACTGGAGAAGACCCTGATGCTGGGAAAGATTGAAGGTCAAAGAAGACAGGGACGGCAAAGGATGAGATGGTTAGACAGTGTCATAGATGCAACGAACATGAAGTTGAGCAAACTTCAGAGGACGTCGGAAGACCGGAAGGCCTGGCGTGATCTGGTCCATGGGGTCGCAAGGAGTCGGACTCAACTGTGCGACTGAACAACAACAACAAAAAACGTGTTCCTAACCATATATCGACAAACACAGTTTTTCCCCCCAGAAAGGAATGAAAAGCAGCCATCTAGACAATCTTCTGGGGGGGGGGGAGAATCATGAGTTTGGAGTAGAAACGGCACCAACCTTGCTCTGAAGGCGTGTTCTTGTAGTGTAGCAGACACTTTAATGTGAAGGGGAGATCCTGACTCCATTACAGGTTGCCACCTTAAGGGTAACTGCTCTTTAGATTAGAAGTCAAGAGTGGACTAGAAACTTCATTTGGTTTTGCTATCTGGTACAATTTAGTCGGGTTCCTTTCATGCTCCAACTATTTTTCCTCAATTTGTTTAAAGTTTCTTTTTATTTTTCAATAACTGGACACAACGGATTGCCCAGTAGTGAAGAACTGAGGTATGCTGCATGCTACACACTGGCGTCATTTCTGGAATTTTCTCTAAAAGTGGTGTTGAACCCTAGATGTATGGTCTCATGGAACTTTAATATGTAACTGAGTCGTGTATCGACATATACTAGTTTTCTTTAGATTCTGTTAAAAAATAATACTGCCAACTCAACAACTCAAATACCCAAATTAAATCCCCCCTCCAAAAAAACCCCAGCTTGTTCCACCTCTGTTTCCAGTACTTCAACAGCTCTGCCATTCTCTCCGCACCATCACGGTCACTCTTTTACATGCACACAAATAGAAAGAGGGCCAGTAGTGTCTTGACTGTTGCTTTTGATGCCTTCTCCCTGAACGCCAGAACTTGAAGTTCTTCTGGTTTCAAAGAGCAGCCTCTGCTAGGATGGACTCCCTTCGGTGCCAGTCTCCACTCAGACATGAGAACATCACTCCCTCCCTCCATAAGAATATAAGAGAAGCCAATGTTGGATCAGGCCAATGGCCCACCCAGTCCAACCCTCTGTCACACAGTGGCCAAAAATACCAGGTGCCACCAGGAGGTCCAGCAGTGGGGCCAGGACACTAGAAGCCCTCCCACTGTTGCCCACCCCCCAAGCACCAAGAATACAGAGCATCACTTGCCCCGGGGTTCCTATCTATACCTTGCGGCTAATAGCCGCTGATGGACCTCTGCTCCAGATGCTTATCTAATTCCCGCTTGAAGCCGTCCATGCTTGAAGCTGCCACCACCTCCTGTGGCAGTGATCAAGGCTCCAAGGCTGCTCCAATTCTGCTTCCATTTGAGTGAGGTTTTCCTCCATCTTCCTTGCAGCTTGCTTTGTTCTTGTCTCCTGGATCTATTCTTCATTCCAAACATTTCCTGATAAGCTGCCCTCAGAATCTCTCACCCCCTCTGTTTTCCTTCTCTCACTTTCACACTAACCAGAAATTCTTGGCAACTGTTTTGCTCTGTTCCCCCATCCTAAGAGACTGCCCCTTTCCAAGTCTAACAATGCTTGTACACCTTGAAGAGCTCAGCGATCAGGGCTGGCATCGCTGTGGCTCCCCAGGAAATAGAGGGAAGGCAGAAAGAAGCCTGAGAGGAGTTTGTTTGCAGCTCACTGTGACTGTGGTCAAGGAACTGGGCTCAACTGAACTAAGGTACAAGAAGAATACGTTAACAGCAATCTTAGGGGAGATCCATACCAAATTAGGGAAATATAAAGCGCCTACGAAATGTGTGGATAACATGCCCGCATTTTAAAAAGCCTGTATTCCCAGCCACATGGATATAAGTGTATGAAAAAGCAAAAATATGACTAAGACTTCATAACTTTATTGTGTGACATTCTGGATTACATGGAGAAGTTGCAATTTTCTCACAAAGTCAGGAATCAGCCTTAAGGGTAATAAGCTTCAGAAAGTCATAAACCTAATGACCAGGAGGCAGGAGGGTTGAAGAAAGAGTCCCACCATTCAGTAACGGGCTTGGGAAAATGGGCTAGAGTAAAGGATCTGTGGAAGGTCCAATGGAAAGAGGGGCACAGGACCAACAAAGAAGAAGGATGAGAGAGCTTCAAAAGCATGGTCGGCTCAAGGGAAAAACCTTTCGTGGGTCTTAGGTATAGGATCTGACAGCAAGGAGAGCAGACTACTGAGGAAAAGAACAGGGATGATAAAGGGAAAACCCAAAGAATATGGAAAAGTAAGAGCTAAATATCATGTACTGATTGCAAATACATAAGAACATAAGAGATGCCAATGTTGGATCAGGGGATTGATCAATGTGTTGGATGCTCTTGTTTACACACAACAGCACTCTGTATCACACAGTGGCCAGAAATACCAGGTGCCATCAGGAGGTCCACCAGTGGCTCCAGGACATTAGAAGCTCTCCCACTGTTGACCCCCCCAAGCACCAAGAAGACAGAGCATCACTTGCCCCAGAGCCCCTATCTATACCTTGTGGCTAATAGCCACTGATGGACCTCTGCTCCATATGCTTATCTAATTCCCTTTTGAAGCCGTCCATGCTTGTAGCCGCCACCAATGTTCCCTCTAAGCTGTGGAGTCTTGTGAGCAAAAATCCTACTTAGGGAGCAACTGGCATTAAGGTTGTGAGCGAGTGACTTGGCTACTGCACAAATTAGGTTGCTCTGGAGCCATCCCTTCCTGAGCTAAGACAAAACCGTGTGAGCTGGAGGCTAAAAAACTGTGAGCTAGTTCACACTAACTCAGCTTAGAGGGAACACTGGCCGCCACCACTTCCTGTTGCAGTGAATTCCAAGTGTGAATCACTCTTTGGGTGAAGAAGTACTTCGTTTTATACACGCACTGTTCCTAAATGACACTTATCTAGCAGTGATAGACATCTCCAAAAAGAGAAACACAGTGAAGCAACAGAGAGGAGAAATTCATAAATTTAAAAAATATGAAGGACAATTCAGCAAAAAGCATTTCCACAGTCATATAAGCCAGTGGAACGTTCCCTAGAACACGGGGCAATAAAGAAATCACAACTATTTACTCACCTGTTCTCTTTGTTCTTGGCCTTCTGCCTGCTCAGGAGTCTCTTGAAAGCCAGAAGAAATCCTGTGATTCTCAGAAAAGTTTGGATCCCCCATAGAAAAAACAGGAATGAGAGGCCTAAGGAATCTGAAATCGCTGCTTAAGGATCCACCAGTTAGGCAAACATCATACTGGTAAGTCCGGGAAAGTGATCCACTCTGAGAATCGACACCAGTTTCTGGGATCTCAGGTAAGGCAGGTGGGAACTGAGGAAGGGCGGTGATGAAACTAGACTCTTTCTTGTACATTTTAATGGCAACAAACACAATGATGCAAATCAG